TGTTTTAACCTTATTGAATCTGTGCTTTCTTCACAAATGGGACATCCAAGTTTCCCTTTAATGCTATACCTTGACAAATTACCATACGCAAGGAAGTCGTTAATTGTGTCAAACAATATAGCTCTAAACTTGAATGTTTCTACCTTATACACATCATATACAAAACCCCACTCTGCCACAATAGCTTCAAGTCTTCAATTAGTGGAGTTAGGTATACATCTATGTCATTCCCCGATTACTTTGGCCCAGAGATTATCATAAACATCATAGAATACTTGCGCTTCATGCATAGCCATGGAGGAAGGTCATATATAAACAAAATCATTGGCCATATACTATGGGTACTGCTTTGCATGCCATACGGGTTCATTTTGTCAGTAGCCAATGCAAGGCATAAATTCCTCTCTTCTTTGTCAAATTCAGGATACTTAATGTCAAACTTCTTCCATTATGGAGAATTATCAAGGTGCCAAAGTATGCCATCTTTAATCCTTTCATCTGTATGCCACCTAAGATTTCTCGCATCTTCTTCACTGCTATACAAGTATCTAAATCTTGGTGCAATGGGAAAATATCATAATGCTTTCTTCAGACTCTTCCTGTTCTCTTGGTAGTGTGAGTCATTACACTCAAGACACCCGGTTAGTGACTTATATTCCTTCCTAAACAAAATACAATCATTGAGGCAAGCATATATCTTCTCATAGCTTAGCCCGATAGAGTACAACGCCTATTTAACGTCATACATTTTGCTTGGAAGCTCATTTTCCTTCAATAGCATTTGTTTCAAAAGAGAAAGTAATTATGTGAAGCTTGTGTCACTCTAACCATTTCTTACCTTCAAGTTATACAATTTCAGAATTGTAGACAATTTTGTGAACTCAGTGTAACCTTCATACAGAGGGGTCTCTGCTTCACTCTTCAACCTCTCAAACATTTCTAGACAATCCTCAAGCTCATCTTCAATCACATTGGCCATATCTTCAAGACAATCAGCTTTATATGTATTTGTGTCAAAATTAGTTGATCCATAGCTTTCACTTTGCCCTTGACTACTATTACCCATATCTCTTGTGTCACGTCCAGCATTATGATAATTAGAAATAAGAAATATTCTCAAATTATTGAGGATTAAAAATAATAAGGAGAATTTTGGTGGAAAATAATTCCAGTAATTTTCCAAGCCAACCATAGAAATTTGATTAATTAAGAAAAATTGGTCAAATTTAAATAAGGAAAAAATTTCCAACCCTTGGAAAATTAAGAAAAATTGAGGATAATATCCTTTGAGAGTTATATGAAATTATACGTTTGGTTTTATGACCAAATTACCCTTAGATAATTTATAAGAGAATTTAAGGGTGATTTAGGCTAATTAAGGGATTTTATTTGGAAAATTCCAAATAAATATTTTTAAGGGGAATAAAATTCCAAGAAAATTCCTATGAGACCCCAAGGAATTATAAGGGATTATGGAATTAAATGAAGACCCTCAAGTATCCAAGATTTTTTCAAATAATGGTGAAAAGTGGAAAAATCCCTAAAGAAAAGGAAATTAATTTTCCTTTTTATTTAATTATTAGGAAATTAATTTTGAGGCAAAGAGGGCAATTTGGAAAGATAAAAATGAGGAGAATAAATTAAGGATCTAACAAAAAATAATTACAGAGGCCAAGCTACTGTAATTATAGAAAAGAAGTTAAACTCAGAGCCAAAGTATACTGATAAAGCAAGACTAGTGTCTTACAAATCAAAGGGATCATATTGAGCCATGTGTCAAGCTCCTGAAGGAGAGGATTTGAATTTGCCAATTGTCACTCCTCAAATGGAGAGGATCTTGACTTTGGTAATTAATTTCTTTTGGATTTTGTTAATTAAGAAAGAGAAAACAAGATTAAAGAGGGTAATGATACTTGGACTCTCATTAAAGATGGTGGTTGAGATATTTTGGACCATTAAACAAGCTCATCTCTCCCCATTTTCATATGCATGTTTCGGCCAAGGGAGGAAAGGAGAGAAAAAAGAGAGTCTTGAGGGAAAAGCAAAGGAAAGCAAGCACCTTTGGTCATACAATCAAGGATTTAAGGTGAGTTATTAGTTCTAGATATGTTCTTGCCTTGTTTTCTTTCTCTTTTATGGTTGAAAAATGTGTCTCCTCTCTCTTTTGATAGCTGGCCGAACTGGAGGTTTAGAGGGGAAGGGAGTTTTGTTCATCACACTTGTTAAGACACAACAACACAAGCTAGTTCCTAGTGTTTGCAAGTGATTATAGGTTGTTTTAAAGCATTTTCCATGGTTGTTTCTTTGAGTATTCTTTTCGGCCAAGTTGATGACTAAACCCTAGGATGATTTTTTCAATGTTTTAAGGCTTCCATGGTGTTTAAATAAGAAATGGGGTAGGGTAAACCAAAAGGAACAAGTGTTGGAAGCTTTAAAGCAAAGTTGTGATTTTTGGTTCAAGTCCTCTAGTGGTTCGGTCAAAGGGTAGCTGAAAGAAGCAGTTTTACTTTCCTAGATCTAAGCACATATTTGGAATCTACATGAAAAACCATGAAGGAATAAGTCAAGAAGTGATTTTTAGGGTTAAAGAGAAACAAGTCCAAAAATGGTGAACAAAGGAGGGAGCTTTATGGATCAAGAATCATTTTTTATTTATGTTCTTGCTTTTTCTTGGTTGGTTAACGATTCTTGCTGCCCTTTTTGATGGATTGCATTGTTAGAGTTTGATATTTGTGAAGGAAAAGAGGAGAAGGAAAGAAAGCTAAAGCTTTTGGAGCAAGGTAGCAAGTTAAACCTAGCTACTAATACTAATTTAGCATTATTGATTATTGCATGATTAATTGCTATTATGTGGTTGGACTTTCTTGATTATAATGTGGCTGCTCTTTGTACTTTCTTACTTTGGCCCTTGTATGTTTGAGTTTTCCAAATGATAAGCATGCTAGTTCACCAATAGTAGTTAATATAATTGTGCATGTTGATTATACTTGTTGGTACTATAGTTGGTTAATTTGCTATTTGGATTTCAATGAAATCTCATTCCCCAAATACAATCTAACATTTTAGGGTCTAAATCCTCTAAGGGAAAGCTACATATTGAAGGCTAAATTGTGGGGTTTAGCCACAAAAATTTGTGAACTCATTTTGGTTATGTACATATTATACTAACAGTGTTGTAAGCACACTAACACTGTCTGGTTTATGTGACTTTTTGATTATGCTTCCAAACGGTTTTAGTCACGAAATTTGGTATGATGAAAGATAACGTCCTGAGCTTCAATTTGATAGCTAATACGTTAAAAATGGCCCATTATACGATTTATAATGATTTTTCAAATTTAAAGGTCAGAATCTGGGAAAAAGGGTTTTTGGCAAATGGACAGTGTTTCATTTCTCAAAAACCCGACACTTTTTCATAAGGAATTGGATAATGAGATTATTTTTACTTGAAATAGGACTTAAATAGCTCTAGGTATAATTTTGAACCACCCCAATTGGATTTTTTTGGAATAAGTTATGAATTTTTGAAGTTAGGTCAGAAAAACTGGATTTTTACCTGATGAACAGTAAAAATCTGAAATTTAGTGTTTTTGTGGTAAAAAGTAAGCCCAAAACCATCCAATATGGTCTAAAATGGTTTTGAAAGGAACCTGAGTCAATATAATAGTAAGGTGTGATATTTTTGGTATCAGAACGGAGGTTTTGGCATAAGATAGAACGCTCTGCTTAAGTATTTCCTAGATTTTGGGTTAGTTAAGAAAGAATTAACACCACGTTACAAGAATCAGGATGGGGATTGCTATGGATTGGAACTCTAAGTCTGAGCCATCAGTCAATGATTGGGATCTTAATATAATTGATCTCACTAAGGATGAGGACCCAGAGGAATGGATAATGGGAAATGCTAGCCCTGGCCATTTATCAGTGTGCTCCAATGACTATGTTGAGTGCTATCCAGAGCTGCTAGGGATCACTACGGAACAATTACTGTACCTCCCCAGACCCAGAGACCTGATCAACCCTGTAACTGGCCTATATCAAGAGCCATTAGACTTAGACCTTTATGTTCATTCTCTTAAGCAGCTTGTTGCCCCTGTTATGTATCCATGTAATATCCCTGGACCTAGTACTGTACCAGTTGTACCCCCAGCCTCGGTAATACCTGTGGCACCTGCAGCACCAATTGTACCTGCCCCAGTTTAGCCTAGTCATGAGATCCACAGTGTGGGTCAGCTGAGTGACCAACTAAGGTTCCTAGGGCGTCACATCAGAAGGGATGTGGATGCAGACCTGAGAGTACACCTAGACTACCTCCAAGGTGTGAGAGAGCTGTATCAGGCATATGGACCAGGCAACCCTTACCTGGATCCTTATGACCGGCTGAGTGAGATGGTAGAGGTCCTACCTAATACCCCTTTCTGGACCCATGAGATCACCTGCCTAAACTACTTGCTGGGAGACAATGTGGAGGACTGGATCCAAAGCCTTAAGGGCTTTGTTATTGTTCACTTTCTGTAGATGATTAGGACTGTCCTATCACTAACATAGGATGTATTTTGGTACAGCTAACCCGAGTAGGTTAGGCTGATAGTGCTTGATTGATGAATGTTCTGATTGTACTCTAACTAGTTGATGCTTAAATGCTAATTATTGTATGCTCATTTTGTGAATGAAATCCAAGCATGATATTTATTTCTTGTTCCTTGTTGTGCTATCCGATTAGTTAAGTGATGGTTAGAACTCGACGAAAGCTTTCACCAGAGAGACCCCCAGTGCAAGATGCAAGGGTCCCTCCCGATCCATTACAATTAATTTTGGATCGCCTCGAGCAACAGCAAAAGACCATCGAAGACATGAGAGCAGTGCAAGCTCGCCAGGAACAAGAAAGGGATGCAGCGATAGCTGCAGCGGTAGCAGCAGCATTAGTGAACCTCGAGAGGAGGTAACCAGAGGAAGAGGTCTCTGCAGCATAAGCATCAAAACCATTGCCCAGGCTGGCAATGCCAGTAGCAGACCCCGACAGCATCCAACAGTGGATGACCCGCTTCTGTAAGCACAACCCGCCGTCATTTGATGGAACATTCGATGTCCAAGCGGTGGAAGATTGGATTAACCGTCTAGAGAAGATTTTTAAGGTATTGGACTGCTCGTCAGAGCAAAAAGCCCAGATGGCGATATATAAGCTAGAGAAAGATGCTGATCGCTAGTAGAAGAATACTAAGATTCTTCTAGATGCTCGAAACACGACGGTGACTTGGGAAGTGTTTCTAGAGCAGTTCTATGAGAAGTACTTTCCGAGATCTATTCGAGATGAGAGAGAAGCAGAATTTCTGACTCTAAAGCAAAGAAATGATGAGCCTTTTGATGAGTACTTGGCCAAGTTCATCTATCTCTCTCATTATTCAAGCTATCTCTGCTATAGAGACGATGAGAGGTGGACAACAGAGAAGACGGTTCGAGGACTGAGGCCATCATTGAGGGAGATGATTGCTCCCAAACAATTTGAGCAGTTCAACAAGGCGGTCGAGGCTTACCGAATCACGGAAAGCAGCTTAAACCATCATCTGATGGTCAAGACTACTCCCAGAGAAGAGAAGGGAGGTCAGGGTGGCACCTCATCTAATGCAAGTAAGAAAAGGAAGCAACCCTAGAATAACCGCAAGAACAAGAAAGGCGATAAGGCATCGAAGGGCAAGGAGTGTGCAAAGTGTGGCAAGAATCACGGTGACAGACCGTGCATGGCTGGACAGAATGTTTGCTACACATGCGGCAAACCTGGACATTTCTCAAGGGAATGCCCGCAGAACACTAGGCAGGCAAGACCACGCACCCAGGGTCGAGTGTTTGCCCTCACAAGGGAAGAAGCCTGGAATTCTCTGGAGATGATCCAAGGTACGATCATGATTAAAAATTCCCTGGTGATTGCAATGTTTGATTCAGGTGCTAGTCATTCTTTCATTTCATATGCCTGTGTTGAAAGACTTGGCTTGAATATAAATACATTGCCATATGATATACATGTGTCTACCCCAACAAAGAATAGGGTAATTACATCTGATGTGTGCTTAAACTACATAGTTTGTTATAAGCACTGTTGCACTGCAATAGATTTGATATGCATGCCCTTCCATGAGATTGATGTGGTGATTGGACTAAATTGGTTGTCATCCCACAATATTCTAATGGACTATAAGAATAAAACCCTAATCTTACCCTCGAGAGATTTAGAGCTGAATCCAGAAGTTAGATTGAACTTCATTACGGAAGCCCAAGCAGGCAAATGCCTACGGAAAGGCTGTCAAGGATTCCTCGTTTTCTTCTCGGTGCAAGTAGAGGTTGAGGAAGGGATAGGAGAAATCCCAGTTGTTAGGGAATTTCCGAAATTGTTTCCGACAGAGATCACATGATTACCCCCAGATAGGGAAGTACAATTCACAATTGACATAGTACCTGGAGCAGGACCAATTTCTAAGGCCCCTTATAGAATGGCTCCAAATGAAATGGCAGAACTTAAGAAGCAGATAGAGGAGTTACTTGAAAAAGGTTTTATGAGACCAAGTGTATCGCCATGGGGTACTCCAGTGTTGTTTGTCAAGAAAAAGGATGGTAGTCTAAGATTGTACATAGACTATAGGGAGTTGAACAAAGTCACAGTTAAGAACAAGTATCCGCTCCTTAGGATAGATGATCTGTTAGACCAGCTAGTTGGAGTCAGTGTATTCTCTAAGATTGATCTAAGATCTGGCTACCACCAACTCAAGATTAAGTTTGAAGATGTCCCAAAAACTGCGTTTAGAACTCGATATGGGCACTATGAATTCTTAGTGATGCCGTTTGGATTGATGAACGTACCTGCGATATTCATGCACTACATGAATAGGATTTTTTGTCTTTACCTAGATCAATTTGTGGTCGTATTCATTGATGACATCTTAGTGTACTCCAAGTCTCCTGAAGAGTATGAGAGGCATTTGAGGATTGTCCTAAATACCTTGAAAGAGAAGCAGCTGGTGGCTAAACTTAGTAAGTGCGAGTTTTGGCTCCAGGAAGTCTGATTTCTTGGCCATGTGATTTCCCAAGAGGGAGTGGCTGTCGACCCTATTAAGATTGAGGCAGTACTCAACTGGGAGAGACCCAAGATAGTGACCGAGATTAGAAGTTTTCTTGGACTAATAGGGTATTACAGAAGATTCATCCAGGACTTTTCTCGAATTGCTCTTTCGCTGACCAAGTTAACCAGGAAGAACCAGCCGTTCTTGTGGGATGAGAAAAGTGAGGCTAGTTTTCAGGAGCTGAAGAGGAAGCTCACTTCTACTCCTGTACTTATACTTCCTGATCCTTCACAACCGTATGTGGTTTATACAGATGCTAGCAAGCAGGGACTGGGATGTGTGCTTGTGCAGCAAGGGCGGGTAGTAGCCTACACCTCACGCCAGTTGAAATCTCGTGAAGAGAATTATCCGACCCACGACCTGGAGTTGGCAGTGATAGTTTATGCATTAAAGATATGGAGACACTATCTGTATAGAGCAACAATATAATTGTCTTGTAACCACAAAAGCCTTAAGTACCTCTATGACCAGAAAGAGTTGAATATGAGACAACGAAGGTGGATGGACTTACTTAAAGACTATGATTTTCAGATTAAGTACCATCCAGACAAAGCGAATGTAGTTGCGGATGCCTTAAGCAGAAAGGTAGTACAGGTAGCATCACTAATGATCAGAGAGCAGAAGCTGGTAGAGGATTTCAGAGATTGGGGTCCCCTATATTAGATGCAGTTAGTAGAAGGAAATAGAGGTAGAACCCAGTTTACAGCCCTGCTTAAGGATCAAATTAGAGAAGCACAGCCACAAGATTGGCTAGCAAAAATTCTCAAAGGGAAGCTGTCTAGAGGCAAGAATAAGAACTTTGAAATTTTTGAGGAGGGGATACTGAAGTTTAAAGGAAGAACCTATGTTCCCCAAGTGTCTGACCTCAGAAAAGAGATACTGGCAAAAGCCCATAAGAGCAAGTATACTCTTCACCCAGGAATGACAAAGATGTACCATGATGTTAGAGAACTTTTCTGGTGGCCTGGAATGAAGAAGGATATTATGAAATATGTGACAAAGTGTCTTACTTGCCAAAAGGTGAAGGTAGAACACCAGAAGCCTGCAGGAGAGTTGCAACCCCTAGATATCCCTGAGTGGAAATGGGATAGCATATCCATGGACTTTATAGTGGGGTTACTGATGACAGTGGCTAAACATGATGCAATATGGGTGATAATAGACCGTCTGACTAAGTTCACGCATTTTCTCGCTATGAATGTTAAGGATCTCCAAAAAAGCTAGTGAGAATTTACACCAAGGAAATCGTTAGGCTGCATGGTGTTCCAAGCAGTATTGTTTCAGACCAAGACCTAAGATTTACTTCCAAGTTTTGGAGGTCCTTACAGAAAGAGATGGACACCACTCTCAGATTCAGCACAGCCTACCACCCCCAGACTGATGGGCAGACGGAACGAACAATTCAGACATTGGAGGATATGTTACGTGCCTGTGTATTGGATTTTGGCGGTAATTGGGATATATCTTTGCCGTTAATTGAATTTGCCTACAATAACAATTTCCATTCGAGTATTCGAATGGCACCTTACGAGGCACTGTATGGGAGGAAGTGCAGATCTCCCTTATACTGGACAGAGCTTAGTGAAAGTTCTCTTGGTCCTGATATAGTGGATCAAACTTCCTGACAGATAAAAGCTATTCAGCAAAGGCTTCTAACGGCTCAGAGTAAATAGAAGAGTTATGCAGATACAAGGAGGAGACCGTTAGAGTTTGACATTGGTGATCACATATTCCTCAAAGTGTCACCAATAACGGGAGTCGGTCGATCTCTAAAGACTAAGAAGCTTAGTCCGAAGTATGTTGGACCATTTCAGATTTTATATATCCAAAGCTGGACCAGTGGCCTACAAGTTAGCTCTTCCCCCGAAGTTAAGTCAGATTCATGATGCTTTCCATGTCTCTCAACTGAAGAAGTACCATCCAGATCCAACACATGTCATAAGTTATGATGACATTTGTGCTTCAAGATAACCTATCTTTTGAGGTTAGACTAGAACGAATCATTGATCAGAAGGCCAAGCAGCTGAGGAACAGGCAGATTCCCCTGGTCAAAGTGGTCTGGAAGGGTCTTTCCTCCAAAGAAGCTATATGGGAGATGGAAACTGAGATAAAGGAAAATTACCCTGAGCTTTTCTATTAAGGTATGCTTTAAATTTCGAGGACAAAATTTATTTAGGGGGAGAAATGTCACATCCAGCATTATGATAATTAGAAATAAGAAAAATTCTCAAATTATTGAGGATTAAAAATAATAAGGAGAATTTTAGTGGAAAATAATTTCAGTAATTTTCCAAGCCAACCATAGAAATTTGACTAATTAAGAAAAATTGGTCAAATTTAAATAAGGAAAAATATTTTCAAGCCTTGGAAAATTAAGAAAAATTGAGGATAATATCCTTTGAGAGTTATATGAAATTATAAAGTTGGTTTTATGACCAAATTACCCTTAGATAATTTATAAGAGAATTTAAGTGTGATTTAGGCTAATTAAGGGATTTTATTTGGAAAATTCCAAATAAATATTTTTAAGGGGAATAAAATTCCAAGAAAATTCCTATGAGACCCCAAGGAATTATAAGAGATTATAGAATTAAATGAAGACCCTCAAGTGTCACACCTTACTTATATAGTACCTTAGCATTCATTTAGAACCATTCTAGACCATGTTGGATGGTCTTACACTTAAAAATTTCAATTTGGACGTTAATTTTCAGAAAATTACTGTTCACTATCCAGTTTTCAGATTACAGGTCCAACTTTGAAAAACCATAACTAATTCTAGAAAAATCATATGGAGGTGTTTAAAAATTCTACAGAAAGCTCTTTCAATTCTCTTTAAGAAAAAAATATTCAACTGAACTCACCCTCACTGAAAACGTACAGTTTATTGGATTAAGATTACTATTCGTTTGGTAAAAATCTGGACTTTCCAGATTCTCCGCCTTAACTTTGAAAATTCATATCTCTTCGTATACACATCCAAATGAGGTAATTCACCACTCATTTTAAAGCTTGGGATGTGCACTATAAGTATACCAAATTTCGTAGCTTAACTCATTCATATGATAGGTCAAAGTGAAGCTCAAAACTAACTGCTCCATGACCTACGTTTTATCCCTTAACATCTCTTTACTTTAATTCTTTTTATTTCTTTGGCATACCTAACATGGGCTTACTTTTTCCCATTCATGCTCATACATTCCTATACATGCCATAAGCTTTATAATTAAATACATGGCATTCACAACATAATTATAACATAGGAGAATTATACATTGAATATTAGTATCAATCATTAGCATCAATAATTCTCCACTTCTTCTCCTTGCTTCTCATGCCATTAGTGCCCATCATTGATTGACCTAAATGGTTGGTTATGAAAGGGTGAGATTCGGGGGAATCTCAGTAGCAAACATTACCACATACATGCACAAGATGGATGCTAGTGTATGGTATGTAGTTTTTCATAAACTTAAGTTAACTAGTGACATGCCATCATGCTTTATGCTTGGTATAAAAATGCATGGCCATCGGAACAT